ATATAAAAAAAGCCAAACAGGAAACAAAGATGGTAAGAAGTGAATAAATATCACACAGCCCAGTCAATGGGGGCAATTAAATTAGGAATGTGATGTGTGTGGGTAAAAGATTTTAAAAAGAGTGTGGCATAGTGACCGTTTCCCGCACGTCACGGCGTATAGAGTTGGTATAATGTGTGGTTGTGAATAGCGTCAACGGCGGACTGGCATGTCGACGTCGATGAGGGCTATGACAAGTCCTACCACAACAAAAACAATAAAAGTGGGAAAAGAATAAAGAGAGAAGAACGACACGATCAAAGTCTCGAAAGAGAGTCTTGGCCACCAGTCTCTGTGTTCTCCGAGTCGGATCGACGGACTCGTGGTCTGCCCTCCTTCACTCCTTTTCTTCCCCCGGTGCTTGTAAGTTGCGGTGGTGGAGAAGGGGTTAAGCAAAGGAGAGCGATGGCTGCCAAGGTGAAAAGGCACGAGATGGGATTGGACGACGTTACAAGGCTGCCCCAAGGCCAATGCTGGGCGGTTGCATTGAATCGCATCATATCCCCGTCCACCGTGTTTCACTTGAAACCCAAGTTGTTACATCTCGCACGGACGCGCTTGCAAAGATTCGTTCAAAACTCGAGAAAACTCCATATCCGCTAACCGATGGTTTCCCTGTTGAAGAGACAGTTTCTTCCCAAGTTCTTCCCCGCATCTGTGATGAAAGTTGGGATGGTGGCTGTATCCTTGAGGGAACGGGTAGCCCGTGCCAGCCCAGGCAACGAGAATAACGAATGATGACTTGCATTGTTGGGGTTGACTATTGGCCGTTGTGGGAATCGGATAGGTATGGATAGGTAACCGACGAAACATCATCAAGCGCCTGCTCGTGATGGGATGGTGATGTGATGTGTCTGTCTACTGGTGGTTTATTATTTTAGGGCAGTTGAATGTGTGATAGTAAAGTCTCGTGGTCCAATAGCTTCTGGGCAGACTTTTGGAAAATCTGCAGTTTCAGAGTTGTTCTGGCAGAAAACGCTGTCATTCTAAACAATCCGTGTACAGAGAAAACCGTTTTGGTGAGATACCCATCACTGATCAGACCACACAAATGATCGGATGAGATGGAAGGAATTTTAGGGTTTTTGATTCTCAAACGAATTGTTTGAAGGAACAAGGTTGCGGGGATGGTCGTTTAAAACAGCTCCTGGTCCTGAATTCCCAATAGGGTAATCCATATTAAGACACGATCTAACTTTATATGTGATAGCTCCCGCCACATCTATATCCCTTGAATGTGGCTTGACTCTTGCTTGTGGCGTGCGAGGTGGGTCTGAAATTCTTGGGTTTGGGAATCCCGGTCCATTTGGACCAGCACGGGTGCCAAGGCTGTCAACCAATTGGCCCGTCCCTGAACTCTCTCTGGGTCCTGTCCGGGGGACGCATTCAACGTCAACTGTTTGTTTCCAACAAGACAAAAAAGTTGACTTATTGTCAACGGCTTAAATAGCCTCTTCTCAATAACGCCGGCGCTTCCTATTGTTGCGCCTTACTTTTTTGGTTTATTTTCTCCTAACTCAGCATAAACTTGCGCGCCTTCATTTTCCAACCGTTCCGTCGCGTCCTCTTTCTTATACCCTCGAAATCGAATCCGAAGTCGCATTTACATCTACACACATTCACACCATGTCCGATATCGACGACGAGCTTCTTGCCCTTGCGGGCAGCGATGCCTCCGATGCCGAGGATTCGGAGCGCGGCCAATCACGATCTTCAACACCAGAACCAAGTTCATCCAAGAAACAAGATGCGCCAGCAAGAGGGACAGCCACCAAGAAAACACCAGCAAAGAAGTCAGGGAACAGGCGCAGTAGTAGAAGCTATGATGGATCTGAAGATGAAGGCGAAGCGTAAGTTTCAACCTTTTCAAATAATCAAGACGTCATTGGCCTACCAAGTGTCGCCGGCTGGGGACAGCAAGGTTGGAGAAGTTGGAAGGGAAGGTGCGACTGCTTGCGCACCTCCCATCGCCCCTTCTTCCTCCCTCTACTTTTGCCCTGTCCCCAACCTCTTTTCAATTTCATCTCCTCTTTCTGCCAATTCCCAATTCCTGTAAATTTGGCGACAACCAACTCGGCGACAACACTTTTATCATAACCTTCAAAACAACCTTTCCGCACATCAGCCACAATGGCTGTCACAATTATACCAACGACAGTTGAGCTAACAGTCGCTTCGACTTCATCTAGTTCTTCTCCTCCAGGATCGCCTGGCTCCCAGATGTCCGCACCGATGGACGAGTCTGATTCCGACTCCGACGGCCCGCTAAACCAACCCCGTGGCGGCGCTGATGAGGAGGCGCAATACCCAGTCGAGGGTCTGTTCAAGAGCTTTCACGAGAAGGAGCATATTATGGGTATGCGCGAGATCGAGCGTGAACAGATCCTGGCCGAGCGTCGAGAGGAGAACACCAGAATCCGTCAGAATCGCATGTTGAGACAGCTCAAGGTCAATCAAGAGAAGGAGGGCAAGAAGCGCAAGGCCAGCGCGGCTGATCTTGACGATGCATCTCGCAAGTCATCTCGCGCTCGCACCAAAGCTGGCGGCACAAGCGAGAAGATGGATACCCTCCGCCGGGCCCGCGAAGAGCGTACCAATCGTCGTGAGCAGAGAGAGCGAGACAATGACCGTCGCAAACAGCGTTCTCCCTCTTACGATCGCCGTAGTCGCAGTCGCAGCATTGATGATCGCGACAGCGACCGTGGTGGTTCCCGCGACCGCGAGTGGCGTAGAGACTCTCGCCAAAAGTCAACAACCCCTGAGCCCAAGGAGATTCTTCCAGCTGAGCTGCGCGATGTTGAGCGCATTCGTGTAGGACGCAGTCGCTTTGCTGAGGTTTGCTTCTACCCAGGTGTTGAGAAGGCTCTCACAGGATGCTATGTTCGCATCAACATTGGCCCTGATCCCACTTCGCGTCAGGATGTGTACCGCATGGCTGTTATTAAGGGTGAGGTCCCCCTTTCTGTTTGTTTACATCTGCTTTGTGTGATGACTAACACTTCTCAACTCTAGGTTTCACCACCGGTCGACCATATGCGATTCCCGATAGCTCCGGGCATCAAATGGTCGTTGACATGTACGTGAAGGCCGCACATGGCAAAGCCTCACGAGAGTGGCCTTTCATCACTTGTTCTGATAGACCTTTCACTGAGGTATGTATTAAGACATTTTATTCTGTGTTGTCCATTTTACGTGTTCTAACTCTGTCTTCCAGGCCGAGTGGAACCGCTACAAACAAGTCTGCCTCTCTGAAGGCTTGACGGTCCCAACCCGCAACGTCATGGTGGACAAGATTACAGATATCAACCGCCTCGTCCGTCGCCAATGGACCGAGCAGGAGCTCTCAGAGAAGCTCAAGCGTCAGAACTCCCTCATGACCAAGTTCAGCAACACGGAGCGTGACGAGCTCGTTCGCAAGCTGGAGGCCGCACGTGCTCGTGGTGACAATGAGGCCATCCAACAACTCCAGGAGAAGCTCGAGAATCTTGAAATCCCCAAGCTGGCATTTAGAACATCTCTGGCTCCGGCTTTCAAGAAGAATGACACGTCGAAAGGTCCTACTCAACAAGAGAAGTTGGCCTTGTTGAATCTGGAGAATCGCAAGCGTAACGCGGAGGAGGTGCGTAAGGCGCAGCTCCGAGACAGGGCAAGGAACATGAAGATTAGACCCAAGGCCAAGGAAGGTGAGGAGTCTTCACAAAATGGTGCTGCTGGAGCAGACAAGGATAACAAAGATCCTGTTGCTGCTAATGGACTGCTGCCGCACATTGCCAAGTTGCAGGAGGCGCAGAGGAGTCAGGCAAAGAATGGTGTGCCCATGATTTCCAAGCCGTTGATGGATGATGATATCATCGGGGCTTTGGATCTGGACATTGACGTGGAAATTGACTGAGAGGAGTGAGAGAAGTTTCTTATTTCTTTCAGTTTGTGTTTTGGCGGGTAAGGGGTGATATCACACTAGTGAGCAAAGTAACTATAAAATCAGAGCTAAGAGAGAGGGTGAGTTGGGAGGTAAATGGATGATATAAATGACACTCTGTCTTTAGCTTGTTGCTGATTTCAAAGACGTCTCTTGTGGTCATAAATGAGGCAAATAAAAAAAAGAAAATTATATGGAATCTGGGTCAGGAATTTGATTGATTGGCAAGCATGCTTTTTAAACTTTTTACGGGTTTTCTAGATAGCGGACAAACGCTGCATTTTTTAAGTTGATACCTATTAAAGGCATTGAAAGCAAATACATAAATCTACTTTTTTACTTTTTTTTTGTGAAACGAATATCATGATATCCTTCCTGCACGAGGCAAACCTGTTGTATTTGTTGTCACTTGGGTTTTGTCAACCAATTTTTTCGATATCGATGCACATTTACAATTCAGATTTTGTCTCTTTGTTTTTTCACAGTATTATATCTTTTTTACTCCGAGTTTTTATCTGCATTATCCTATCGCAGGTTTTTTTTTTCTGTTGGCTTCTTTCATCAACTTTTGTCCTGTTGTCCAGCTGTGTTTTCAATTTGTTGATCCCGATTATATAAACATAAAACTCCATGTTGAAAAAGGACTTTTTGAGAGGAAAATGATATATTTGTTCCTTTTTTTTATGACTTTTTTTTGTCATGCCTCTTTTTTTTTGGTATTCTTCTTCGCCATACTCCCGATCAGTCCATACCCTCTACGAGGAGTCTTCTTCTACCCTGAAGACACAATCTTAAAACCATTATTCATTCATTCATCCATCTTCATACCAGGTATTATTACTAAGTAACACTCACAGGTCCATCTCAGTCTGTATGATATGGTGTTCTTCGGTCATTCCCCCGAGTCAAGACTATAAGCTACCACTGTTATCAGAAGCCACGATATCCACCATAACCATCACAAAAGCACCGCCTCGTCTGACGGCCATCCAGACACCCTCCCAGTGCCCTATTTAGTTTAGAAAAAGTAATACTGATAAATATCCCCGTAGCTTAGTGGTCAGCGTTTGTGTGTGCCTTTCTTTCCAGCGTTTGATTTTCCTCAGCGAATACAGTTAAGGCAGCGAAAAACGTCGGTTCAAACCCGACCGGGGACATGATTTTTTTTTCTCTTCTTTTCATTATCTATCTATCTATCTCTTAGATTAAAGTTCGTCTTTTAATTTCAAATCCCCCCCCTTTTTTCTTAAAGCTTTTTATTTATTTGACTTTCTCGTTAATTTACAATATTTTCTTTTTCTTACCTTCTGCATCTATCAACTTGATACCTTGATCACGTTTGCTGAACACTTGGGGCTCGGGTAGGAAAATATAAGAAGAAAAATAAAATGTCTTTCTTCAAACTTCTTCTTCTGACTTGTTTCATACCAGTAATTATTTTCCCACTCAATTTATGCACATTTGCCAGACCGACACCATAGATACACAGTATATATTTCCCCCCAAGCGCAATCCATAGGAAAGCTTTCTCCTAAAACAAAATCTCAAACAATAATCCATCCTTATACTTAAATATTCCAGAAACCACCCACTACTTTTTTTATTCTGAAATACTTTTTTTTATTTATTTTCAATTAACAGTACACCGTTTGTCTCTTCGTCAGACTTTCCTATACATTTTACATATACATATATCTATTCATCTCGAAATCTTTCCACAAACTAATAACACGACATCATAGTCTTTGTTTTAAAGGCTTTAGAATAATCCATTTAGATTCACTGGCAAATCCCTTCAATCTAATCATCATCTTGTCCAAAAATGCCCACATATAGCCCAGAGTGGTCAAGTTTGCTTGTTTGGAAAGAAAGGACAGCAACGACATAAACATGGCTGACGGGGGCCAGCAATCAATCAAGAAATACACACCGGTTCGATTGTTTGGTGAGTGATAACGGTTATATGAAGAACATGTTCCATGACGAGACGACTCAAATATCTATCTAAGCGGACGACGACGAAACTTGAAGTTTTCTTCAGAATTTCAACTTATTAAGCTTCTGCTTGCCCAAAATAATAATAATCATAAAATCATAAAATCACATCATCTATCCATCCAAAGATATTGAAGAAGAAGAGCTCTTCAGAAAGGTAACTTAAACTCGACAAATCCTTTAAAAATGATTGATTCATTAAATTAGGGGGGCAAAATCCGATATAATAAGGAAGTATATAACTCAGTCACCCACACAACAGAAACAGCCAGTCACAAAGAAAAAAGAGTCAAAAAATGTATATATCTAAATGCCACTAATAACCCAATTTTGTTTCTTTCATGTTATCTGTATCAATCTAAAATGAAACAAAAAAACAAACAAAAAACACTAGATACAATAGAAGAAGCATCTGCCTTAAAAACAATATAAACAGAATATGACAATACACCAATCAATCTTTGTGTGGGGTGTGATTTCTTTTCCTGTTGATCATGTTGACAGCGGTCACACACACAGAGAGATAAAGAGGGTGGAAGAACAAGACAGAGAGGCACACACACGACAATAAAGAGAATAAAAAGGTCTTGACACAGAGAGAAAGGGGAGAAAAACCAGACACCAAAAAGAGAAAAGTTTTTGTTATTCCTCCTTTAGTGCTCATCAAATTCCTACCCATGCATCCCATTGCATCCCCGTCATATTGTTGCTTGTTCTTCGTCTCAAAATATTCGTTCGTCCAATTCCAGAAACAACAGGTAATAAACGAGATAAAAAACATTTTTTTTTTGCCCAAAAAGTCAATCGCTAGTACCACCCATCCATCCTCCCACCACAAAACACAAAAAGCCTCCATATTGCGCCCGCCAAAAAGAAAATAAATAAAAAAACCCGCTCAAATACTAAAAGTGGTATAATGTCATAATTTCCTCCCTTCCTCTTCTTTCATGACGCGAGGGGAGAGGAGAGTGTTTAAAAAGAATTTAAAGCCGAGAGGTTTTCCCCAACCATCTCGGGAAAGTTTCAGGTCTTCATTAAAAATTGTGGTATAGTTTGTTGTAAAACACGTTGCGCTCCTCCTACACATTCTGCTTCCTCCTGTTCTTAGAAGGAGGGTTGGTGGGAACAGGGCTAGGGGTAACAAAAGTCACATGCCTCTCCTCGTCCTTCTTCAGCTTGACTGCATTGTTGTTGCTCTTGGGCTTGCGATGAATCGTTCGTACACGTCCGTCAGTGTCCACTGCGATACTAATTTCGGCAACGTCCGAGACAGAATCGGTTTCCATGGCATCACTACTGTCGGATGCAGACCCGTCATCATCAGAGTCATCATACTCGCCATCGTCACTAACCAACGATGGAGCATTGTGGCTGCTGGCCATGGTGTTGGGACTCATTTCTACATCCATGTCGTCATCATACATCGGAGTCTTGGGAACCTCGGGTGAATCAGTTCCAACCGACCGAGTCGTGGTAACCGTCGGAGGCTGAGAAGGTGGCACCACAGCCCGTGCCGGCATCCGCATGACAGCAGGTACACGTGCTGCGGGTGCCGATGGGTTGTCGGATCCAACGGGCTGATCCACATCTGAATCTTCGCAGGGTGAGAGCAATTCCCAGTCAACCTTGACCTTGGCTTCAGCCACCTCCTGCTTCAAGTTGCCACTCAGCTTTTTCTTCTGCATCAACTGTGAGAGGTAAGGAGCATCAGATGACTTAACCAGACCAGTGGATCGCGAAGCACGGCGGCGCGAAGGCTTTTGAACACCAGGTATGCTGTTAACATTTGGCAGTTTGCCGGCATAGAACAAATCGAGTGATGCAGTGAGGCGAGAGTGAAGAGCTTTGTAAGTTTCCTCATCAGACACAGAACCCTTCCGCGCAAATGGGTGGACCAGTCCAGCAGGGGCGGAAGCACCGGCAGCAACAGGAGCTGGAGCTGGAGTCTTGATGCTGTCCGGTACGATGGCGCCGCTCTCGTCCACCTCGATAGGATGTCCGGCGTGAACAGCAGCTTCCTCGTGACTCTTGTAGTCTCTCTTGTGGGCAATCCGACAGTGGTTGATAAACCCTTGAGTGCTCGAGAAATCCCACCTGTGGCAGTCTCTGCACACCAGCTTCACCGTGATGCCGTCAGATCGCTTCAAGATACAAGGGGAGTGCTTGTCTTTCGGTGCTGGGTATCCACTGGATAGCGCATGCAACCTCTGACCTGCGTTTCCGCGAGCAGGGCGCTGCTTGCCAAGACCTCCTGCATCCGACACGCTGTTCCTCGTTGCCCTACCTTCCGTTGTGTTCCTCGCCCGACCAGTCTCTGTAAGGCCGGGGGCTTCAGGTTGAATGCCATCAAACATGGGATCAGGTATCAGCCACTTAGCATAATGACGCGCGTAAGGGCCTTCAACAACACCAAAAGGCGGCGCCCATTTGGGAACAGGTTGGCCTGGTTTGGATTGCAGAGCAGGGCCCTTGCCGCTGCTGATCTCAAGCATCTGGGAGGGAGTTGGGCACTGTACGGGGTAAGGAATGAGATGACACCGGCGCAGCTGCTCAAGCGCAACCTGGCATTTGGCCAGCTCTTGGTTGATCAATCGCAGCTCGTCATGCTTCAACAAAATCTCAAGTCCGAACTGATACTGAATGACTTCTCTTGCGCGTTCGAGGTCGAGGCCAGAGGTGCTGCTGGACCTGCCGCGCAGCATCGAGCTGGACTCTTCGCTATCTGCACATGCCGACGTTGGGGATGGTAAACCACCATGATGCTCTTCCTCCGTTTTCGCCCGCTTCACTCGTGAGTACGAAGAAGCGGCGTCAACAAAACTTAAACGACGTTTCCGTGGCGATATTGGCGTCAATAGCTCGGGTACGTTCGAAGTTGTCGTATGGGTAGTGTTCTCGCAGTTTGCGACTAAAGGATTTCCTTCAACGGTTTTGTCGCTTCCCCTATTTTCGGAGTTCCAGAAACGAAACATAGACATGACCCTTGGGTTCCACCGACAAAAAGTGTCAAAATGAAAGTGTGCGGTGAGAAAGTGAGGATGGCGCAAAGGGCTTTATCTTTGTACCCGTGGCGTTTGTCGCAAGGCTTCTGAGAGAAGGCAGCAACACGGCCGAGACAAGGGGGGTCCGGGGACAGGAAAGGGGCAACCTGGAACAAGGCACGGGGATCCGATCGACGATTGGTCGGACGGCAACGAGGCTGACGTAACTCCGAGAGGCCGCTTGCAGGTGGGGCGGTGTTTATCGTCTCAGTTAGGTTTAGCCGATTATGTCGGGTGGATTGCGAGCGACCCGCAGTTGCTGATGTGGCCTGGCCCCAGACCCAACGGGAAGGCAGGAGCAGCAGGGAAATGAAAGAAGGACCTCAAGGGAGAGGGAGAGCTGCGCAACAGTCGCGGTTGCCTTGCGCAGTGGTGCAGTGATGCAGCAGCAGCAGCAGCAGCAGCAGCAATAGCAGAGCGGATTGCCCAGGAAAGACGAACAACGACGTCAAAGTAAAATAAATAAAATAAAGGTTGCGCGAAAGCTAGTTAAAGCCTCGCGATCGTCCAAACGAAATAAAAGGAGAAAATCTCTTTACCAAGACTGGGTAGAATGAGTGCGCGCACTGCGTGTTTTGCGTTGTTTTTGGTTGTGAAATTTGTGTCGTTTTGGTCGTGGTGTTGGGAGAGGTTCGCGGTTGGGCTGTGAATGTGAGGGTGAATGAGAGAGTTGGGGGGTGATGGGCGCTGTCACGCGGGTTGTAAGGGGAGACGCAGCGCCAAAGGGGGAAATTGTTTGGGAAGTTGGATCTCTGGAGGCAAAAAGGGATGCAAGGGAATCAACGAGAAACCAGGGGGTGGGCATGGGTAGAAAGTGACTAACGCAGCCTGGGCCACCCAAGACCGCAGCCAAGGGAACGATCGAGGAAGGAAAAACCTTGTCTGATTGGTTCTTTGTGCGGGGCGTTATGGGGCAAAAAGCGGGACTGCTTGTCTGACATGAGCTGCAACTTGGACTTCTGTGAGGACGCAGCAGGAAGGCGTGGTTGTGGTGGTGCCGTTGTGTGATGAATGGAAGGCTCGGGCGCAGTTTGCCGTCTCACAGTCAAACGCCATAAAAAAAAAACGATGATGCCAAGAGTTGGAGATTGGTTCAAAATGTGAATAGCGGACTTTAGACA